AGTTTTATATCCGATATACCATTCCCGGCTTTCATTCTGTGTGGCTTAGTTTTATATCCGATATACCCTTCCCGTCTTTCATTCTTTGTGGCTTAGTTTTATCACCGATATTCCCTTCCCGCCCTTTATTCTGTGTGGTGTAAGTTATATCTCCGATATACCCTTCCCGACTTTCATTCTGTGAGGTGTAAGTTATATATCTGATATACCCCACCTGCCTTTCATTCTGTGAGGTGTAAGTTATATATCCGATAGACCCTTCCCGTCTTTCATTCTGTGAGGTGTAAGTTACATATCCGATATACCCTTCCCGACTTTTATTCTGTGAGATGTAAGTTATATATCCGATAGGCCCTTCCCGACTTTCATTCTGTGTGGTGTAAGTTATATATCCGATATACCCTTCCCGACTTTCATTCTGTGTGGTGTAAGTTATATATCCGATATACCCTTCCCGCCTTTCATTCTGTGGTGGTAAGTTTTATATCCGATATACCCTTCCCGGCTTTCATTCTGTGTGGCTTAGTTTTATATTCGATATACCTTTCCCGGCATTCATTCTGTGTGGCTTAGTTCTATATCGAATATACCCTTCCCGGCTTTCATTCCGTGTGGCTTAGTCTTTTTATCCGATATAGACTTCTCGCCTTTCATTCTGTGTTGCTTAGTTCTGAGTCCGATATACCCTTCTCGCCTTTCATTCCGTGTGGCTTAGTTTTATATCCGATATACCCTTCCCGGCTTTCATTCTTTGGGTGTAAGTTCTATATCCGATATACCCTTCCCGTCTGTCATTCTGTGGGGGTAACTTTTATATCCGATATACCCTTCCCGCCTCTCATTCTGTGGGGCTTAGATTTATATCCAATATACCCTTCCCGACTTTCATTCTGTGAGGTGTAAGTTACATATCCGATATACCCTTCCAGAGTTTCATTCTGTGAGGTGTATGTTATAAATCTGATATACCCTTCCCGCCTTTTATTCTGTAGGGCGGTGGGGTAGCCTAATGGTTAAAGCGTTGGCTCGTCACGCCGAAGACCCGGGTTCGAATCCCCACATGGGCACAATGTGTTAAGCCCATTTCTGGTGTCCCCCGCCGTGATATTGCTGGAATATTGCTAAAAGCGGCGTAAAACTAAACAGTCAGTCAGTGTAAGTTATATATCCGATAGAGCCTTCCCGTCTTTATTCTGCGAGGTGTAAGTTATATATCCGATATACCCTTCCTGCCTTTCATTCTGTGAGGTGTATGTTATATATCCGATAGGCCTTTCCCGCCTTTCATTCTGTGAGGTGTAAGTTATATATCTGATATACCCTTCCCGCCTTTTATTCTGTAGGGCGGTGGGGTAGCCTAATGGTTAAAGCGTTGGCTCGTCACGCCGAAGACCCGGGTTCGAATTCCCACATGGGCACAATGTGTTAAGCCCATTTCTGGTGTCCCCGGCCGTGATATTGCTGGAATATTGCTAAAAGCGGCATGAAACCAAACTCAGTCAGTCAGTTTTATTCTATATGTGTAAGTTATATATCCGAAATACCCTTCCCGCCTTTCGTTCTGTGAGGTGTAAGTTTTATATCCGATATACCCTTCCCGTCTTTCATTCTGTGTGGCTTAGTTTTATATCCGATATACCCTTCTCGGCTTTCATTCTTTGTGGCTTAGTTTTATCACCGATATTCCCTTCCCGCCCTTTATTCTGTGTGGTGTAAGTTATATATCCGATAGAGCCTTCCCGTCTTTATTCTGCGAGGTGTAAGTTATATATCCGATATACCCTACCTGCCTTTCATTCTGTGAGGTGTAAGTTATATATCCGATAGACCCTTCCCGTCTTTCATTCTGTGAGGTGTAAGTTACATATCCGATATACCCTTCCCGACTTTTATTCTGTGAGATGTAAGTTATATATCCGATAGGCCCTTCCCGACTTTCATTCTGTGTGGTGTAAGTTATATATCCGATATACCCTTCCCGACTTTCATTCTGTGTGGTGTAAGTTATATATCCGATATACCCTTCCCGCCTTTCATTCTGTAAGGTGTAAGTTATATATCCGATATACCCTTCCCGTCTTTCATTCTGTGTGATGTCGTATGATGACAATCAATGACTGTGTACCAAAAACATCGCACACCTGAAATACTGCTGAAACAAATACATGCTCATGATATAGTCAGAATTGTACAATCGACTCTGCTTTTAGTAGAGATTATTTATGGACGTGGAAAGGGTTAGACCGCTTCTATTTATATATCCGATATACGCCCTTCCCACCTTTCATTCTCTGTGATGGAAGTTATATACGACACATACCCTCCTTGCCTTTCAGCCTGAATGATATTACAATATTTTGTTCATAACTGATCGGGTGTGATGCTGATCTTTATGGAGAAGCATGTGCAACGTGAATGACCCTCCCGAAGTGACACCTCCCAAGCAGCATGCAATGTACAAAATCAATGGCCGCCCACCCCGGCCCCCACTATTCCCATAATGTTTAAGCATCGTTTTTAAATTTTGTCACGTACAAATTGTTCACACACACACACACACCACCCCTAGTATGTGTGTACAAAATCGATGTCCCCCTACCTCCCCAGAACAAAATGGGTGACCCCCCTAAAATCATCATCACCCCCCACACCCCCAGCCATAAATTATGAACGGTCCCAAATGTGATTTGTTTGGCTTCAGCTTTGAGCCGTGCCCAATATAGCTGAACTATGCAACCAATTTATAGTAAAGGATCATGTATACTAGCCACATTAAGAAACTGTGCATTGTCAAAATATTATCCCAGTTGATAAGTACGATAACAATGTCAAAGGTACATATAAACTTTAATGGAGGGATCATGAGACCATAACAAGTCGGGAGGATTTCAATTGAAAAGTCAATCACAATGACGTCACGAGTCCACAAGCGGGACAAGGGTCAAACGACCATGTCACAAGCTCAATAACGGGTATGTCCACCATCTGCATTGAGAACAGCAGTGCATCGACGACGTGTAGAGCCTATCAAACGTGCAAGGAAGGCTTGTGGGATGTCACGCCAGATTCTCTCAAGTTCTGTTGCAAGGTCAAGGGCGTTATCTGGCGGATGAGGAAGACGGCGTAGACGTCGATCCATCTCGTCCCAAACATGCTCTATCGGGGAGAGATCCGGTGAATTTGCAGGCCAAGGCAGTAAGTCAACGTTGTGGTGTTGCAAGAAATCCATAGCAACACTTGCCGTATGAGGGCGGGCATTGTCCTGTTGGAATAACATTCCAACAGGACAATGCCCGCCCTCATACGGCCATGACGTTGCAGAAAAGGAATTGCCACAGCTCGAAGAATCTTATCCCTGTAGCCCACATCAGTTAAGTTGCCCTGAACAATCACCAAAGGAGTTCTTTGGTGTGCTGTTATTCCACCCCAAATCATCACGGAACCACCACCAAGGCGATTCCTCTCCAAGACACAGACCTGTGCATAACGTTCTCCCACGCTCCTTTTGGCACGTTGACGTCCATCACTATGGGAAATGTTAAACCTGGACTCATCTGTAAAAACAACATTTCTCCACCAAAACAAGGGTCTGCGGACATGATTTCGGCACCACATTCGGCGAGCTTGTCGATGACGTTGTGTCAGGATAGGCCGTATGGCGGGACGTCGTGGTCTGATCCCGTGATGACGTAAACGTTTTCGAACGGTGTTGGGGTGGATACGGCGAAGTCCTTGGATGGTTCGGGCAGTCATCACTGCAGTCTTAAACCTGTGGCGAAGATGGGTCACCCTTATCCATCTGTCCTGTCTTGGCGTTGTTACACGTGGACGTCCAGAACGTGGCCGATCGATGACGTCATTTGTGTTCTGGTGGCGTCTCACCAGTGCAGAAATGGTGTTCCGGTGGCAGTGGAAATGTGCAGCCACTTGTCGTTGAGACATTCCCCCACGGACCATCCCAATGGCCTCATGACGTTGTGCAGACGTGAGCCTTGGCATGCTATGCGTTTCAATAGCCGTTTAATTTTTTGAACGATCGCAAGGGCAGGGGTTGAGCTTTCCAAAGTGACAGTATTGTGTGGCATTCATTTGCTCTGTTTCTCTTTCCCGGAATGCACGTGCAACAACGTATTGCACGTCTCAAGGACGAACCCACTGACGTCACGGAACGTGGCACGTGCATGCATGTTGGATACATGTCACTAATCTCTGAGTTTAAATCCTTATGTGTCTACACAGGTTTGATAAATTTAGATTTTAAATTTTTGTATGCACAGTTTCTTTATGTACTTAGTATAAAAACGCAGCAAATTGGGTCACGAACACCTGAATACGGAAAAGCGTTCACAGTTACAAAGCTAATTACGACAAAAATCAGAATTATTTCAGAACACAAGGTAGTGTTTGAACTGTTTCAATTAACATGGCCGATTATATGATATTTATTACGTGATGTAAATTACATTATGCTTGCATTATAAAACAACACAATTAATGAAAATGAAACGTCGTACACCATGAGAGGTCTGCTTGATTGGGAATTGCCACACGATATAAACGATTGAATAACTGACGAGTACAAAAATAATTAGAAACTATTGGAAAATTAAATGTGAGCTACATATATGCAGAGGAATATGGAAATATGCAACTGATAATTTTCGGTGTTTCCCCACTAAAACATAAACTAAATCATATTCCGCGCATAGATCGCCTTGAGTTTTAGAGTTAACCGGGAGCAGTACTGCAGTAAATGGGGTTTTACGAAATTGTAGACTGTTATCCCAGTTCTGGTCGCTGCATGAGTCTGCTGGGCCGGTTTGACTGACATATAACCCGTCATGAACTCTGACACAATGCAAAGTGAGCGAAAACCTGGATACGTTGATTTGTGCTGATGGACATTACCTTCACTCTACAATAAATTATATTTGATATTCAAAGCAGTGTACAGTGTTGCAAGTATAGGGCTTAGGGTGTCTCGTGTAAGGCCATCACGAAACAATGCCGGTTTGGAAATAGCTGTTTTAGATTAATGCCATTTGTTTTCATCAGCACCAAGAAAGCCATCAACTGTCGCATCGGTCGCATCTGAATTAATACACGTATGTATATATCGGCAGTCACATATGCCTCGAACTTGCACCAGCAAACACGAATTTACCCACATACTAGTGTATATTACCGTTAGCATCTTCCAAAGTAATGTCATCGTGCGTTTTGAAGGGAAGGAAAACAACTGTACCCTCAAAACTAAAAGTGAGGAAGAGAGATATATTTCGATCTTTTACGTTCAAATCGGTACTAGATCTACTAATCGTGTGAGGTTTTTTTGTTTCTTTGTTTTTGTTTTGTTTTTTGGTTGTTGCCAAGTAATTTCGCATTTGTTGATAAAATGACGCGGTACCTAATTCCCCCAACAAAGGTTTGTCTGGTCACTTGTACAGCGTGAGAAATTGTCTTTTGTTAAAAGACCACAGAAAGTATCTGCAGCAGAGATACCTTCTCCCTGATGGTAGTGTGCTAGTCCACTGGGATATATACTCTAATGTCTCCAACAACCACATATATATTATTTTCAAACCCGGCTATGTTGCAGAAATCTTGACATATTGCTGGTGCAATGTTTCAATCACCTTGTCCGTGGCCCCTTGTAGTGAAGCCCCAGGCAGTACTACCTACAGGGATGATGACAAAACATAACCTTTGTTTCAGCTGTGAATAAACCCGTTTAGAGCCTGTCTGTCAGTCCGCTTGTCTACCGTTTGTGCTATATCTGTGATAAGGCAGTAGTCCCTGAAAGGTTGAAGTACAAGTGTTACAATATACTTTTTCTTCACACAATGTAACCAAGCTGAATAAGATTCAAATGAAACTGATTGTATTTACAACAGTTTTGCACTTTGGCAACTTCTATGCTGGCTTCCGAACAGTTATTGTCATATATTAGTGGTATTTAAAATATTACTCCGCCGTTCGTTGAATTGATGAAACAGAATTAATTATGATACTTAATTAGCTATTCACCGATGTGTCCAGCCCGTTCATTGCCGCCGATTGTGTTTTTATATAACGCGGCGGAAGGGAATCATGGCAGTACAAATAGATGTTTTCTCACAACTAACTGTAACAGAATTTATCATGTCATTTGTGAAATAATATATATATTTATATCATAAAGCAACCTCGAATAATTGATTGTGTGACTAGTTGAGTGTTTTTTTACAGTAGATTGATAGGGAATGAAACAATTAATGAATTGTGAACTTGAACTTGCTATTATATAGATCGTGTGACATCCCCCCAACTAAGTTAAAAAAAAAATTACCTTTAATTTTTTTTCTTATGTTACTTACCGTGAATAATTTTCTTTTGCTATCTTTAATTGTTGTCAAATACCGTGGAAAAAAATACTGAAATTGTAATTGACCGGAACTGCTCATGCGTGATACTGATAACTGTTGCGCAGCGCTAACTCTTCGTGATCCAGGGTGTCCTCCCATTACGCAGACACCTTAAAACAACAACATTTACGGTTCAGTGAACAGATTATCTACTACCTGTTACCTACACATTATAATGGAATAGTCCAAATAAAAACACAGGAACAACTGAAGCTATATTATTTATTTTGAAAGATGGATGAAAAGACAGTAATTTGAATTTTTATTGCTGCAATATGAAAACAGTTTATTTTTCATAAACATTTCGGTTTAACCTTCTAGTCTAACGGGAGTCGGCATCATCATATTGAAAACATTAGCTTAGCTATAAGAAATTGCGACACTGTTGTATCATATAAATCAAATAGACAAATGTGAACCTAAATATTATTCATATGGAATAAAGAAGTTATGTGTTTTGCACACAATATTAAGATACATGACAAGTGCACTTAATTACGATTTATTTAGAATAAATATTAAAATAAGACGCATCATGTGAATGTGGCCATGGATGTGAGAATGTATTTCATTACTTCTTTGAATGTCCATTGTATACTACTCAAAGACACAAACTGTTACAATCTTTAGAAAGTATTGTTGAAATTAGAACACTGATTGGTATTAATCGTATCTTACATGGCAATGCAAGTGTTTCATTTACTGCAAATCAGAATGTTTTCAAATTCAGTCAAATCCCGATGAGTCGAATGCCGGTGTCTCGAATATTATGCATAACTAGAAGTACCTGTCGGTCCCGACCATTCCCTGTTATATATTCATCATTTGATTTCCGGTTACACGAATTCGTCTCATAAATACACACGATGACTCGAGAAGGAAATTTGGTCCCATAATTAACCTTCTAGTTCAGTGTCTGTCAACTGGGAGATTACCTGATCCAGTAGTGATATGCGCCACCTAAGCCATCAGTGAAGTGCTTGTGCTCTAAGTTGGCTAGCATTCACTCATCACTCCAAAGACCCCGGGTTTGATTCCCCACATTGGGACAATGAATGAATCCTTCTTGTGTCCCCTGCCATGACATTGATGGAATATTTCTAAAAGTGGTGTAAAAACACAAACTCACATGATCTTAATATTAAAGCACACCAATGTACCATCAAAAATAGAGCTTAAATGAGCCTTGTTTGAAAAGTGTCCAGTAATTCATTGTTTTGGCAAGTACATACGATGATGATAAATTTACAACATTTATGTTAAAGTGATATTTCATTAAATTTTGTCCATGAGTGATAAATTTATCAAGAAAATCTCACTAACACATCGTCATTGTTTTTGACGACAAACAAAATTGATGCAAGTGGTTGATCATGACTAAAGTACTGTCGGAAATAGAAAAAACCCTGTTTTTTCACATTTAGATCCACAATTTATCTGTTGAACTAAGTTCAGCCTAACTACAGTCTCAGTGGTAGGGAGATAGGAAACGTAAAAAAAGGACTTTACTGAGGAGACATTAGTGCAGAAATGAGCGATGTGGGTTTTTTCAAAGTCCAAGTCGACTTATTTGGAACAGACCTTGGCTTTATGCAAATTAGTGTGCGCGGACATTGTATTACAAAGGACACTTTTTTAAATGCCCATTTTGAAAGTAGACTTAGCTTCATTAGAAACGATAGCTGACTTACAAATAATATTTTTACTGGTGAAACTCTTAAGGATGTAGCTACCATGGAGTCTCACTACCACTATAAAAACAAACAGACATGGGGGGTCGTCTCAAAAGCAAAATCAGGTCGGGTGTCGCAGGCGATGGTTGGGGTCGGGCTGGTGGCTAGAGATATCAGCTAGGATAAGATAATCCATTAGGGGAATTATACTGGGGAAGCAACAATTGACAAATAATATCCAGTCCTGTCGATCTTTGGGTGGCCATGCTACCTATATATTTTGAGACATTTAATCCGATGGCTGATTTAAGCCTTTCTATGGGTATTATATTGTTTTACAAATCTCAACATAAACTTTATGAAAAAAAGACGTTAGATGTTAATCAATATTTGTGACATATTCAACACACAAGAAAACACATATAATATCATTGAGATGACCCCTTGAGCCTGCAGGCAGCACGTGCATTCCATGCTCGGTGTGTCGACGGCCCGTCATCATACCTGGCCGAGCGACCTTATTGTCATCTATAGTCTGATCTATTGTTTTAAGCAGCTATTCGTATTTTTTCTAAGTTTTGCCCGATTTTACGAGTAAACATGCTTTTCTGGATATCCTGTTACGCATCCCACTGAACGCCCAGTTAGGCCGATGTGGGTTATTTCAACAGATGCTATTTGCAATTGTGTAAATATTAGGGATACAGAAGCCAAAAAAACAGTTTTTTTCTATTTCCGACAGTACTTTAGTTCATACACTGACTGTTTTTGTTAAATTTGATTTTGAAAGCATAAGAAGTTTAGATCAGGCTCTCTGAGTACAAGAAAACAACAGCTTCCAAAGAGGGTGATGCTGCTGTTTTTACAATACAATTTGAAAATATCTGGTATATGTGAAGGACTGACTGACTGACTGAGTTTAGTTTTACGCCGCTTTTAGCAATATTCCAGCAATATCACGGCGGGGGACACCAGAAATGGGCTTAACACATTGTGCCCATGTGGGGAATCGAACCCGGATCCTCGGCGTGACGAGCCAACGCTTTAACCACTAGGCTACCCCACCGCCCCATATGTGAAGGAGGAAGTGATGAAAATACAAATTATTTGAATACCATATTTTGATTTTGATTTTTCAGCATGTTCAGTGTAAATGTTGCTAATGCCCATAATGATGTGAACAAATTTGTGTGACGACCACCACCAGAACACCTCCATCTTTGTCTCACCTTGTATCCACCACTTGACTGTTTTCAGGCTGTACTTGTATTGGCCAGTCCGGGAATTGAAACTTTTTCTTCCATTTTTATCCCCCTGGCATGTAATGCGGGGGGATATAGTCGTCCGTCCATCCGTAATCATTTTGTTTCCGGAGCATAACTCGAAAACCGTGCGATATTTTTCAACAAAAATTGGTAGATACATCAAACAGAACCTAAGGTGGTGCCTTTTGCTATTTACAGATTTTTGTCATTTTTATTTTTCTGGGTTTCGATGGAAACGTTTTGGACTTAGTCTTAAAGGGAGGGGTGGGCTTCGTTTCCTGGAGCATAACTCAGAAACCGTTCAGTTTTTTTCTGCAAAACTTGGTAGAGATATCAAACAGAACCTAAAGTGGTGCCTTTTGCTATTTACAGATTTTTGTGATGTATTATTTTCTTGGTTTCCATGGAAACAATTCGGACTCAAAAAGGAGGGGTGGGTTTCGTTTCCGGAGCACAACTTGAAAACCGTTCCATATCTTTCAACAGAATTTGGCAGATATATGAGACAGATCTTGAAGTGGTGCCTTTTGCTATTTGCAGATTTTTGTCATTTATGTTTTTCATGATTTCCATGAAAACAATTTGCACTTAGTCTAAAATCAAGCTGGACTTGAAGTAACTGTCAGATGTTTGGTTCTTTCAAAGATATGGGGGCCGGGGGGATATGTCATCTTCTCATGACTCTTGTTCTTTTACATGACTTTAAAATTGTATGTACACCTTGGTGTACTCGTCTGTGGACATTTAAAGATATGCATAATATTTCATTTGAAGTAAGGTTTTCCTATTTCATGTCAAATAAGGTTTTCCTATTTCATGTCATTCTTCAAACGAAAATGTTTGAAACAGAAAGTGATCTTTGGTAAATGAAATTAATGGAGGAAGAAAAAAAGGAAAGCAGGATACTAAATAATTTTGTGATACTGAACTAATTATAACCAGCCCCCAAGTATTAACTGTTTTGTTGGGTTGTTTCATATGTTTTGGCCCAACTAGGCTACAGTACGGATGGAAATCAGAAATCAATATTGTGTGTTATTACTATTTCTATTTCAGGGCTTGTAATAGTAATTGATGAACTATTTATTATACCCATGGCATGGCTAAAATACTATATATAACACACACCATGATTTATTTGATGGAAAGTGCAATAAATCTAACCAACTCAAATGATTCAAAACCTATGTTTGCACCCCATCAAAATGTTTATTGGTGGCACTCTCAATCTCACACCTTAAAATAGGCATGGCCATTTTCAATGCATTTTGAAATCCTGTTTGTGTGCTACTGTTAGTTTATGGGTCCTGGATAAATGATGCTGAACTATTGTTGCTGTCATGATACTGTTCTGGAATTCAGCTCTCATATTTACAGATTTACTGATTTATTAAACAATGAATTGCAAGGACATTATTGTTGTCATGTTTTAAGTTCAATTGGATCATCAAAAGACATGGGCACACTTTTTACAATGGCACACCTAAATTATCCCCCTCCCTGTAGGTACGTTATTGAACTATTTAAGATTAATCTAAGTAGCCGTTTAAATCTTGTACTATTAATTTCAACTGTGTTCTCATAAATTCCCTTTTCTTAATTAAGGTCACATGCAACGTAAAACACAACTTTGCAGATTCTGATACCTTTCCGTATGGACTTACCGAAACAATCATCAAAAATGCAAATCCAACTTATTAAGTTGAAAAATAACGCGATGAATTTTTTTTCGCGAAATCAGAGTTGAAACGATTCACTAATTTTCCCCCAGAGCTTTGAGGGAAAGTGGTTTCAACAGCTGCGCTGGGCTGCACTCATAGCACATGTGCAGTGAAATAGGTTCGCGCAGCTTGGAAGCGAGTTGTCTGGTGAATACTCAGAGAAGGCTTTGGTGTGAGCTATTTTTCTAATGTTTTGTTGATATTTCACAGGCGTGAGCTTTTTATATGTTATGACAGTAGATTACCGATTTAACTGTTTATATAATTTCATTTGTCTATTTCACCACACGTTCTTCTTACCGAGTCACTTTCTCAGTTCGATACTTAAAAGCAATGTCATTATTTAGCGTTGACAGAATTTCTAACTGTGATATAAATATGTCGTTGTCACAGACAAAACTCAATGTCTGTTTTATTGACACCTATGTGTCTGCCTGCCTGTCTGCTAATGACAATATTCAATACACAACTTCGATCACTGACCACATGCAATTTGAACTTAACACCTATCAGGCTATACACCATAAACAAAATGCATTGATTTATGGCCCGAGTTCGGTCTCTGTCACATTATGTAATTACACAGACAGGCAGGTGTGATACTTGTAGACATGACATGTTATGATGTCTGTTGATTGCAAAATGTTATACACAAAAAATGAGCATGTATTTACAAAACCCAACATCTCTATATAGACACACACAATGAGCCGTGAGGGCATCCTCAAATGAACCAGCCGTTACACTTGAGTGCTCACCCACCCACTCTGACTGGGTTCGGTATCCCGGCTGCTTCATTTCTTGGGAAGTAAACCCAAGTACAAAATATTGCACTTTTGATTTGCGATTGTACGCTTATAATTTTGTTTATATGTTTTTCATAATCATCAATGTATATTATATGTCATGAATAAGTGATAATTGTGTTTTAATTATGTTTGAATTTTGGGTTGCATGTGACCTTTAACTATATGTATAGTATTGTCTTGGATTATCATACCTTGACGCTGACAAATATAACACGTCAACATGAATCTGATTATGAAACTAGGTGAAAAGCTAAGAAAATAAAATAATAATAATAGTAATAGTCCGCTTATATGGCACTAATATCCAGGCACATTGCCTGCTCACGGCGCTACGTACATTACTAGTGCTAGTTAAGTGACTAATGGTCTCATTTATTTGTCAGTCAAGAGTATATTACTCTTTCGAAACCACGTGTATCATAGAGACCACAAGTGTGTGACAAGCGAATACAATACCTGCCATGTGTGTCTGTGCCAGCACAAGCATAAACTTGATGTGAAATGCACAAACAGACAGCTTGTTTTACATAACGCAAATGTGTAACCAGTTTGCAACTATGATATGAGTTATTGATATCTTACTGTAGATTTGTACAAAACAATTAACTAAGTTCACATACCATTATCCCTAAAATTAGTAAAAATGTAAATCAATTGCCCTGGTGTTATTAGAATCTGCAGTGAATTTGTCCTTTCGATCACAATGGACACTTTATATGATGTCAGAATATATTGATGATGTTAAATGCTTTTGCTGCATTTTAGTTTTGTTAATATATTAAAAACAGGTGACCTGGAGTGCCATGGCTTTATGTTTACTGGGTATATTTGCAGTGTAGTCATGGCCTTAAGTATGGATGACAAGCTACTTGGAGAAAAAACTCATTACTACTGCAGTAGCAGTGAGGGAGAGGAGGAATCTGATTCAGAACATTCTCAAGGGGAAACTGGAATCTCGAAGCAAGATCAAGCTCCTGCAGACATTAATTCATATCAGGGTACTTGCATAAATGTAAGTAGTTAAATTTTTCTTTTGGTGTCTGCCTGTTAGCCTGTTGGTCTGACTGTTTCTCATTAAAATATGATATTTGTTGTCACTACTGCTAAATGCAGATAAATGAAGACATCCCATTATGAGTCCTGCAGAATAAGCTTTCATCCTGTATGTGATTAGTGCCGGTTAGAAATGACATGCGTTTTCAGTCCACCGTCTGCTGTGTAACACTTGAATGACTACAAAAGACTAAACCGAGTGTTGTCAATCAGAAGGTCTTCTTGTTATGTGAGATGCCAGAGGCAAAAGCATGCCTCTTATGTTTAGTTTAAACTGTTCTGGAACTTTCCTAAATATTCCGGGTGAGTCTTTACAGGAAAGGCCCATTGGGTTGTAGAACCATGTAGTACCATCCAGAATTCCAAGTCTAAATATAGCACAAGTCTAAATATAGTGCACTGAGATCCAGCCTGCAGTCATACCAAATGCAACCAAATGCATCACTGAGCCACCACCAAAGGGTTCAGCTGAACAGATCATCTCCAGGTGGAATGCATTGTTACAATCTCCCTGTACGCAACAACGGCTGTTTATATCAATGAGCCCTATGTTAGGTCCTCAAGTTGTGGGTCAGCACCCCTCCAGACGTTGTGCACAATGTGCCTTCATACAAGCAGCTCACAGCCTCCTTCTGATGGTATTGGTGGAGAGCTGGACTCACACTCTGCATATGTCTCAGTTGTTTAGCATGGATCATGGAATTTTGCCTTGCCAGGCTGTCATGGACTTCCTTGGTCTTCCAGGTCTTGGATGATCCTTCACTTCACCAGTGGCCACGTGATTCCTCACAAGTCAACTAATAACCATGTGCTCGAAGTTCAAGTTGATAGTTGTCCCGGTGTTGCAACTGGACATCTGTGGCTATTCTATCAATTATTAGTATTTTATTAATTATTTTGAGTGTATCCAGCTTCGTTATTGATGCATTCGGGACAATGTTGACAATGGACCTAGTTTCTGAGGGTAATCTGTGTAATGGTTAACCATTTTCTTGTTGCAAGAACCTCGCCATCTGAGCGATTTTTGCTTGATAGTCTGGTCACATGGAACATTTCATCCCGTGAAGTCCTATAAATGTTCACATAAACATCTACAAAACACCATGATGTCACCACAACATGGCCATCAACAGGAAATTGTTTCCCTGGTGCCCGTGCTGCTGACACCAAGTTAGATGGGGAGCAATGTGCTGTATCTGTAGTGGTAAATGTATAACTTGGCATATGATCTTAGGTTGGCGTCTTGAAACCAGTTCCTAATGGCTAGGTCAGTAACATCATTCTAATGCTATATTCTTGGAACATTAGCATCAATGCTGTGTTGACGTAGTGCCATCACTAATAAGTTGATTGTGTGGTTCCACTTCAGTAATGCCCTGGAGGCAGACATTTGAAGAAGACAATGTCAGAAAGAGAAAAGTAGCAGCAACACAATCAGTGCTAAGGCACATTAAGCACAGTGCCAGTATTCAACACTGTACGGGAGCAACTATACACAACGCCACAATAGGATGCATATCCTGATACGACAGTCAGGATATGATACGTATCTCATGCCAGAACAAAACAATACACTGAAAAGACTTAGGAATATTTTTATGAAAACATTAAGTCACTTACATGATGCAGAGATGTTTTGTGAGGTATTTCACCTGTATTTTAGGTGAGTGATCAAATGAAGACAGATTGTTCCTTCCTTGTCACAAAAAGTAACTGAAGCCCAAATCATCCCAAATAGGTGGTTTGTTGGATACGAGAGCATTTCAAGTGGAGTGGAAGTTCCCTGTGGTTTGTGATTGGTTGTTGAGTGAATGTGAATAAGAAAATAACAAAGACTGTTCTTGTATCTAAAGATCACACCTGGTGAAGGCTGTTTATCACGATCAGATTATTCATTCATTAGATAAAGGGAAAATATATAACTTAAATAATTTTGTATCACAGAACCTGTCCATATATCATGTATATGTAGAGATTTGCGATCTGGTAGAATCAGAGAATCTACCAGTAGAGATTGTGATCGGAGTCTCTTCCAGTAGAGACTCTGATTATATAGAATAACCTATACAATTGCAATCTCTACCAGTAGAAGCTCAAATCTGATCCTACTAGAAGAGATTGCAATCTAAGTGAATATTTAGAAAAACAAAATTATTTTCGTATATTTTAGAATGACATCTTCCACTGAAAAGCGCACACTGTTTGTCCAACTTGATGCTTACAAACAAACTGAAAATAAAACATTGTTACTTTGTTTTCATTTATGATTGTTATTGTAAATAAATGTAACTCTCAAATTAAAACAAATAAAAATTCAATGTTTATTTTAGAAAATCTCGCACTTTATTGTGAGTGCTAATGTCAGCTATGTCCATCGAAAATGAATGAACAAGAAGAGTGAATGAACAAGAAGTAGTATAAAATACATTTCATTCTTTAATATTTAGGTCCCATCTGACAAAGGTCTTTTCGGTATAGCATTTTGTTTTCATGTATCCATTATGACAGAGCTTGAAATCACCACGGTTCTTGATTATCTCCATCTTTGCTATTTATGTTATTGTTTGCTGACGACATGGCGGTGTATAGTACAGTTATAGGATTACAAAAAAGGCTCCATAAGTAAAGTAATTACTGTGATAAAGGTAAATATAGAAATACTAAGGTATTCGGGTTAATCAAGATGTAGGTTGTAATAACAGTTATATTTCAAGTTTTAAGGAAAGGTGTATTGCTATTGGTAGCCAGTGTTTCTTTGAAAGTATATCAAGTTATTCCAAACTTCGGTAATATAAATCTGTTAAAAGTGAAATTAAATGTGAGGATTATTTATTGCTAATTAGTGTACCAGTTTACCGTATTGCACTCTGTAAGCTCCGATGCTCTAATCATCAACTGCTGATCAAGACGAAAGATTGGCCGAGCACAGAGCGAAAGATTATGCCCTTTTTGCATTGTATCCATTATTGAGTCTGAATATCACTTCTGCTTAGAATGTAATTTTTATAATAATCTTTGTCAGGCCAAAGTATTGTTACATTTCTCTATCTCTCCATAAATTTGTACAATTGTTGTCATCTTATAATGCTTCTCTTCTTAATACTCTAGCTAAATATGTATTTCTAGCTTTTAAGAAACGTTCACAATTTCTCGACTGAATTGATGCAATGTGGTATTTTATCTTATTTTATCTCATCTCTTATACATCATGTTCTATGGCCAATTTACTGAAATAAACACAGTTTCACTGGAAACAGTGTTATATCTGAATAAAATGCATATTAATTGTTCAGCCAAGAAAGTGTCTTTGTTGTTTGCCCACAGATCAATCGGAGTTTCTACCATTTGAATTGGAAATGGTACTGGTAGAATCTCAGATTGTACCAGTAGAGACTCCGATTGCAATCTCTACTAGTAGGATCGGAGATTCTACCAGTAAGGACCCCGATCGCAATCTCTACTGGTAGAGACTCCGATCGCAATCACTACTGGTAGAATCTCCGATTCTGCCAGATCGCAATCTCTACCCTGACATATATTGTGTATGGTTTCAAAGGCCACTTATCATAATGCATTGTTTCATGGTAATTCTTTGCTGACACAAGTCCTCCTATGGTACAAACGTTTTGAGCACAGACCACAACCAACATCTGTCTGAAATTTGAAGTTTGTTATACTGAACCCTCAAACTGTATTTAGTTTACGTTTTTTTATAACATAATGATTAATCTTAATATGAAGAATGAGTGAGTTGTGACATCCAAATGTTGTGTTCTTTCAGACAGGTCCAAAGGGTGTGATCCGTGACTGGCGTGAATTTAAACAACTAGAAACAGAAAAGAAAGAAGGTCAAGAGGCAAAGAAACGAATGCTTGAGAAGAAACTGTCTAAGACATGTCACTCTTATGTGAGTATGCTTCATAACTCATTCCTAATAGGTAAGCCGCGAATAGCTCCAACATTGTTGATGCGGTGTTAAGCAATATTCACTCACTCACTCACTCCTAATAGGTAATGTATTATGAAGATGGTATGCTGTGATACAATCACTTCATCCTCAAGATGTCAATCACTAGATTGTCTGGTCAACTCAATTATATACAGACTGCCATTATACAGGTGGAATAGTGTGGCATTAAACTATAACCAATAAAATCACTTAATAATCAGGTTATTTTTTGGCATTTGTCAAATTTGTTTGCTTCCAGTGAACAGTGTAAATAGCATGTGACTGACAATCTGATTTTGTAAAGACAGAAGATCTGCTTTCGTCTTCAGAGTGCACTGTAGACAAAGCTGACTTGAATCATTTTTATGTCAAAGAGCATATCTCCCTTCGTCAGACTGCACTGGAATTAATTAGAAGGCCTGGAAATATCCACACCAGTTTTGTCTCCCATTCTCAATATCGCAACCAGCACACCACTGCTCTTTACTTAGGAGATAAAGGTATTCTGTTTTCATTTTTGCAGTCCTTTAGCTGATGATTTAAGACCGGTAAATAAAACATTTAGCACGACTGACACACGTTTGAAATCCAGACACTTTCGCAAGCAAGATGGGGCGTTTTTCCAGGAATCAATGTAGAATCGTCCAACTCAAGAACAGGTTGTTCAATGATTTAGACAAAACGTTTGCAATATACAGTAACTTTATTTTGGATACTCAAACAACTTGTTTGTGTCTCTTATATATGGAAACAATGGTGTTGGTTACATAGTTTACAACACCTAAACTATTTTATACTAATATATGCAATCGAAATATCACCTCACCCATACAGCAAATTACTATAGACTAGCAAGTGAACTATAAGTAGGATGACTGTCAAGTGTACTCGCTTCAAACTTTCAAACTTACTCGTTGAAGTAATTATTGATCACCACGCTGCTGTTTCCAATTTGGAATAGACCAGACATGCCAGTTTTAATATGGGACATGTTTACAGTAGATGTGGAGGGGGTAACTACTGAAGATGCAGCGGGGACCAAAGGCAACAGGTTAGGAGTAGGCCGAGTGTTTTCATTGCCGGTCTTGAGAATGGCCAAGTAATGCTGTGCTGCTGATTAATCAGTGTTGTAGGATGATAAACTTTGATGGTTTTTGTGACCGGTTATTTTGACAATTTCTCTAGCCGCAACACCTGCATGTGATAAGAGTGTTACAGTGGTGGACCGAACACAGTGGTTCGTGTACTGCTTACCAAGACCACGTGTAGTAGAGATTTGCTTTATCATTGTTTTTAGCATGTTATGGCCCAAAGGTTTTGTGGTATACCAAACATCGTCACTTTCAGAGAAATGTCTGTGTGGTTGTTGCAGAAACGCGTGATTTGGGGGATTCAGTTTGGAAACAAATTTTCTGAATGACAGAACTGGACATAGAAGGGTGCTGGTGGCACAGATGCGGGGTGTAGCATATTCTTTGTCCCCGATACCGCCAGGATGTTGTTTTGTGGCCTCACTGTGAGTCATAGTAACAAACTCGCAGCCAACATCATCAACTTCAACAGCAAAAGAATGAAGAGATAACTCCATTTGATTCCCACATCCCCTGCGCCTAAATCCCAGTGTAAGATCAAACCAAACTTTACTTTGAAGATCAACAGGATTATCAGTGTTTTGCTGATAACGTATCTTTATCAAATCCCCCTCCGAAATAGCATGGTGATGTTTGGCAATGTTGAGACCTACCTGTAACTGCTTTATTTTTCTAAGCATTGCACTAAAAACTGTACTGGCAGAGTGAAACTGTCTTGAAGAATGTTGAAGGAAAACAAAGTTCTGTGGATAGTCAACTTCTTGATTGCAGTGAGTGCGACGTATCACTTGCTTGATAATGGTGTTAGTACCTACACCGAAACGTCACACTCATTGCAATAAAGAAGTTGACTATCCATAGAACTTGGTTTTCCTTCATTCCTTCATCTATACAACTTCTAAAATGCCTCTCAAAGAAGTTGAAGAATGTTCACGTTCAAGTTAAACGGTGGCTGATGAAGATGTCTGGAATCGCTGCCCGGATTCCGATATATGAGGACTTAGAGTAAAAGTTGCCTTCGCTGTTCTGGACCTCTGCATAGAATTTAGAACTTTATTCAACTCATAGACAGGGAGAGTCTTGAAATCAAGCCACTCTAAATTGAATGAAAGGAAAACAAAAATGACTTTCTTGATTTATACTCAACTATGATTTTCAAGGTGTAAAACTTTCCGAAGTTGTTACGTTTTCTTATAGATGTTATTTTTTTTAAGTCGTTTATCATGTTTATTAGTTCTTACGTTTTAGGATTCTCACACCCCAAGTGTTAGTTCGCAAAGTAATTTTACTTCGGGAATCCAAAACGATGATCTCCAGTTCAGTGTCGCTTACGGTCTTGAAGAGCTTTGAAGCGGGTTCATGTCGTCCTTCATCTGGGGAAATAATGTTAATGTATTTTAAGTTTATTGTTGTTTACGATAATAAATGTCATTTTAATTTTTTTAATCATATTGTTTTGTACTTTGTTTTGGAGTAGCAACCGTATGCAGTACAGTTATGACTGTTTTGTAGGTAGAATCTAGCGTTGATTAAGTGACACTGAATAAGGCTAATAGGGGTACCTGTCTTCTCATGTTTAAGAATTTCATTTATATCAGTTGATTCCAGTAGGTCGTCATCGAACCATTCCGATTTTAGATCAAGTTCTTCTCCAGATATCTCGTAGAGGTTACTGATATGAAAATCGCCGATGTCTGAGTTAGACGACATGTTTGTTTACAAACATTTGGGTCAGAGAGTGCTATGTATTCATCGTATTCATATAAAGCGGTCTACGTGTAATTAGCGGTCCTTTGATTCAGGTTTAAGAATGGTCACATGCAATAATCAACCAATCAGAATCGAGTATCCCACAATGTCGTTGTGCTAGAATGAATCTTTACAGAAACAATTTAATACACAATACAACACTGTTCTACAGTGTCTACAAACACTGTCACAAAACAACAGCAACTGGTGCATCATGTCCTCCAACATGAATTCGCTGATGCTCTCATTATATATATAATGTCTCATTTATTTCAGTAAATGTATAATCAAGCCAAAAGTTGTTGATAGGAGTTGACTTCATTAACAATTTCCATCAAACATCCAGTCTAATTGCAACATCAGTGCATCTTTGCTGTCCCTGTGCTTAACTCATTAAGCCCAAGAGCCCCATCACTACTCAACACCTGGAAGCCCTCGCTGATTGCCCACTCTCTGTGCCGAGACTAATTAGTGCTAGTCACACCTGATTTCCCTGGCAGGTTTCGGGGATCACAGGAAACTGTCTAGTCGTACAAACAAGTCCTGATTGTTTAATTGTGTCGTAAAGATATATGTTGAAAGAAATCAGGTGTGAATACATGTCGTGTATTGCAAGCTTTATGTAATTTTATTGCAAGTTTCTCTTGTAGACCTTTTGTCGGCTTGTACATTTATATTTTATCACAATATGCATACACATGTATTCTTTGTATGTAACAGATGAGACACACGTTAACAAATTCTCTCTCTTATATCATCGTGTGAGGTTTAAATTTACAAAACATCTATGACAACGACATACTGTAAAGAAGAATTTACTTTCATACTTTATAATCTTCGAAGAAAATAGCGATTTTGCCGATACATTTCTAGTGTTTACGAATTATTTTAATGAAAGTACTATAACGCTAGTCTGTGACTAGCACAAAGCACATTCATAGCTTTGCACTTTATTTCATACAGATTTAATGCAGAAAACATACGTGACCATACAAACATACATATACAAAATGTATACTACATATTACTTGCATAGACATAAAACAAAGTCAAGTGATAGGGCTGTCATCAAATTTCCGAATAGAACGTTTGGTATCTCAACTGTTCAATGTAGTGGCTGGTCATATGTTATCTGCACCAATCAGTATCATGAGATACCTGTCACAGAGGAAAGGACAGGTGACGGTGATGGCTGAAATTTCTGAAGAGCACGTTTGGTCACTCAGCAGCTTGGATAGAGATTGGTTATTGGCTATATCCTTGACCAGTCGATATGCTGGGTTTCGGCTTTATCAACTCAAGCTATCATGTAACAGTTTGTGTATTGTAAACATACACACTGGTAACGATGTATGAAATATACACATAAGACAAATAGGAGTAGATAGTCACTTTGGCGAAGTTTATTTGTCCTCATTTTAGTGTTTTTCGATAAGTAAAACAAAGAGATTGAAATCCAACCACTGAGTAGAGGTAGTATTTATTTTCATATACATTTTATGCACACAACTAGTACATAAAACATAATGGTTTGCTGTACATGTAAATATAATCTTCACCTTGATACTGAATGACTATCCAAACTAGAGTACACGATTACAGAATTTCGAGGTGACACTATACTGAATTATTATAGTGTATAAACTAGCAGTTGACACCCCACCCCAATATTTATGAAGGTGGAAGTGCCTATATCTTTACTGAATGCAAACAAGGTTCATAAGATTACAGATGTGCATGCATGTATAAACATCACAGAGAGGGTGACTCCATAAAGCAAGATGTCCAATGATATAACAGCATCTGTTTATTTTATACTTGTCAGGGGACAAACCTTTCAACAAGGACGTAACTACATATGCATTCTACCGAGGCTGTTATTTCAAGGTCGAAAGAGGCGTTCAATTATCTCATTACTGTAATCTGCTTGAATGATTATACGCGTGTGTATCGATACCGTAACTGATATACTATCCAGCTTTTATTGACGATTGATCAATAGAGACTGAGTTGATTGATACACATGATAATTGCACCGGATTTGATAATTACACAGATCAAATACAAACGTTTTACAGAATGCTCATGTAAATTGCATAGAAAACTGACAATTCAAAT